CTCATGATCCTGAGATCACCACGTGAACAGAAACCAAGAGTCAGACGCTCAACAGACTGGAGAAGAATGACCCCAGGGTAAGGTGTAATCTAGGATACCAGGTCCAGGGAAGACAAAGCAGTGCCCCAGCAATGATTTTTAATATATGTTATCTTACTGCGTATTTTTTAACTGTGAGCTATGTCCTAATACTAACCAGAAAATTTATTGTTTTCTTGTAAAGGTACTTTCTAACCAACACTCAAGACAAATCAGTTTCAAGGAAAACAAACATGTCCCCTGTCAGTTAAAACTGAGTGTGCCGGGCATCTGGGTGGCTCAGTCAGTTAAGTGTCCTCCTTCAGCTCGGGTCATGTTCCCAGGTTCCTGGGATCCAGTCCCATGTCGGGCTCCCTGCTCAGTGGGGAGCCTGCTTCTTCTACTCCCTGCTCATGCTGTCTCTATCTGGCTCTCTCTGAAATGAATAAATAAAATCTTTAAAAAACAAAAAAACTGAGTGTGTGCCAGGGATCTTCCTTTTTTTGTTTTATATAGCACTAGCTCCAACGTATCACACAGGAACACCTCAACAGGAAACTTAAAATGCATACACACACACCTCTCATAGTATCCAAAACTGACATGGCCTCTCTATAACTTATTAACTATTCACAATACAAAACCAAATACTGGATCGCCTGGGTGGCTCAGGTGGCTAAGTGTCAACCTTCAGCTCAGGTCATGATCTCCGGGTCCTGAGATCAAGCCCCACATTAGGCTCCCTGCTCAGTGGGAAAGTCCGCCTCTCCCACTACTCATGCTCTCTCTCAAATAAATAAAATAAAAAAAAACAACAACAACACACAAATACATTCACTGCACGGTCTTTTAAAAACAGTAATAGCTTTCCAGATTGTCCTTTCCTAAAAAGACCATCCATTCCAATGCAACACAGACAACAAAATGGTTAGAACCTCTCTCCTTTCCCTCTCACCAAAAAAGCGAGTCACCGTTGGTTGACTTCCCTCAGGGAAAAGCTCATGTCTAGGGCCACTGTTCTTAGATAATAAACTGTGAGGTGCCAAAAGCTCTTTATATTCAAATAGATCACATTTCTTCCAAAAGTACTGTATACTGCACAAGATTTTATGTAAGTTTCTCAGCATGATAGTTAGAAAATTCAGAACAATAGGGGTACGTGGCATGCAATTCTTGATCTCGGGGTCATGAGTTCAAGCCCCATGTTGGGTGTAGAGATTACTTAAATAAATAAAAACTTAGAAAAAAATATACTTAAAAAGAAAAAAAAAAGAAAATTCAGAACATAAAATGTATGTGAAAAGGAAAGACCTGCACCAACACACAGCTCAAGAAATTTCAAAACACTGGAGACAAAAATACTACAGATTACCATAGATAAACCCAGCTTACAGTCAATCAAGCATCAGCAAGGTATCACAATTCTCAGCAGCAACAATGGAAGCTGGAAAACAAAAAATGTCCTCAAAATTCTGGGGGAATTCTAGAATGTGCCATTTTATGGTGATCTGCTAACAACTAATTCTTAAGCAGAAAAATGAACTTCAATTTATTCCTCCCATCCTATACAAAAACTAAACCAAAATGGGCAACAGACTTAAATGTAAAAGCCAAAACTATGAAACTTCTAGAAGAAAACAGGAGAACATCTTTGTGATTTGGGTTAGGCAAATATTTCTTAGAAATGACACCAAACACATGACCCATAAATGAACAAAACGATAATCTGAAAATCATTAAATTTAAAAACTCTTGCTCTTAGGGCACCTGGCTGGCTCAGTTGGTGGAGCAAACGACTCTTGATCTTGGAGTTGGAAGTTCAAGTCCTACGCTGGGTATAGAGATTACTTATAAATAATCTTAAAAAAAAAAAGAATAAAAAAATAAAAACTCTTGCTCTTCCGGGCACCTGGTAAGCATCTGCCTTCGGCTCAGGTCACGATCCCAGGGTCCTGGGATCGAGCCCCACATCGGGCTGCCTGCTCCGCAGGAAGCCTGCTTCTCCCTCTCCCACTCCCCCTGCTTGTGTTCCCTCTCTCGCTGTCTCTGCCAATTAAATAAAATCTTAAAAAAAAAAAAACACAAAAAAACCTCTTGCTCTTTTAAAGACACTGTTAAGAGAATGAAAAAAGCCACAGACTGGGAGAAAATAGCTGCAAATCATCTGTAAAACAAGTCTCAAACTGAACAATAAGAAAATAAACTCAAAAACTGACATACAATAAAGATGTACACACTTAACCAAAGACGTTACAGATGGCAAATAAACACATGAAAAGATACTCAACATTATTAGTCATTAGGTTAAGTTCAAATTAAAACTGAAATGAGACATTACTACATACCCCCTAGAATGGCTAAAATTAAATGGAATGACTATACCAAGTGTTGACAAGGAGGTAAAGGAACTGGAACTCTCATACACTGTGGATGGGAACATAAAATGGTACAACCACTTTGGAAGACAATTTGGCAATTTTTTACAAAGTTAAATATACACTTGCTTTGAGAACCAGCCACTCCCCTCCTTTGTATTTACTCAAGAGAAATGAAGCATATATCCACAGACTTGTACAGAGCGATTCACAGCAGTTTCATCTTTAACAGCCCCAAACTGCAAATAATTCTTTCGTTCATCAAGTGGCAAATGGGTAAGCAAATTGTGGTATTTCCAAACAATGGAACCCCACAATAAAAAGAAACCAATTACTGATAAACACTACAACGTGGATGTTAATTACGCTGAATGAAAGCAGTCTGAAAGAGTACATTCCATAGGATTCATTTATACAAAATTTTAGAAAATAAGACAATCTACAGTGAGAGAAAACAGATCAGTGATTTCCTGGATATCCTGGTGAAGATTACAAAGGGACAGGAGAAAAATTTTAGTGATGAGAGCTATGTTTACTCCCAACCATGAGGGTGATCCACATTATATCAAAAATTATCTAACTATATACTTTAAATATGTATAATTTACTGTATGTCATCTACACCTCAAGAGAACTACTTTTAAAAAGTTAAACAACCTGAGAAGTTTTACAAAAAGAGATGGGTGGTGCCATTTAGCTGTTGAAGAATCCAGTGAGTAAGATGTAGTGAAAAGAAGGGCCATATGCACCCCAATGTTAGCAGCAATGTCCACAATAGCCAAACTGTGGAAAGAGCCGAGTTGCCCTTCAACAGATGAATGGATAAAGAAGATGTGGTCCATATATACAATGGAATATTACTCAGCCATCAGAAAGGATGACTACGCAACTTTTACATCAACATGGATGGGACTGGAGGAGATTTTGCTAAGTGAAATAAGTCAAGCAGAGAAAGTCAATTACATATGGTTTCACTTATTTGTGGAACATAAGGCATAGCATGAGGACATTAGGAGAAAGAAGGGAAAAATGAAGGTGGGGAAATCGGAGGGGGAGACGAACCTTGAGAGACTCTGGACTCCGAGAAACAAACTGAGGGTTTCACAGGGGACAGGGGTGGGGGATGGGTTAGCCCGGTGATGGGTATTAAGGAGGGCACATATTGCATGAAGCACTGGGTGCTACGAAAACAATGAATCATGGAACACTACATCAAACACTAAACATAATAAAATAAAATAAAATTAAAATAAAAGAAAGAATCCAGTGAGTAATAACGTAATATTGCTGATCCCAGGGAAGGGATTTCCATAACTGTTCCCAAAAGATAGGCAACAAAGTAGCAGGTACTCTAGGCCAGGTGGGAGAGAAAGAAAGAAAGTAAAAGCTGGCAAAAACACAAAACAAAAATATTTTGGAAAGAACAGGCCAATGTGGCAAAGAATTAGAGATTTAAAGTTGAGAGTCTCACCTTTATAGTCACAGTAAACCTTCATCTGAGAACACTACTCTGGTGTAAGCAGGGAGGGAACATGAACCAGAAGTGAAAAGGCTTGGGAGCAAGATGAGCAAGCCAAGGTCTTTGTCTGGGTGTGAGCTACAAGCTGAACAAATGCAGTCAGAGTAGGAATAGAAAAGGAGAAAGAGAAAGAAGGGTCACAGAAGGAAGAATTTTATGATTAGCAAAACAGGGAGAATTCAGGGAAAGGACACTACTCCTATCTCCTTTTCTGTCAAAGTTAACTGTGGGAGGCCAGGGGTTTCAAGGTGAAAAAAGTGAAGCACCCCAGCAGATCCATGAGACCAAGACTTCAGGTCAGTGTGGGTCACCACTGCTGCAGGAGAATCACAAAGTCCAGTGTCACTGAGTAAAGCCTGGAACAAGCCCACATCAGAGTACAAGCTCACAGAGGAAAGTCCCACTCTCTACAAAGTTCAGACCCAAACCAAGTTAACTTTCAACTGTATGACTGATTTCTAAAATCTAAAAATATTCTCATGCATATAAAATAAGACTTTGTTTTAAAACCATAAAAGGGACGGCATAGGGAATATAGTCAATGCTATTGTAATAGGGTTGTCTGGTGACAGATGGTAGCTATACTTAAGGTAAGAATAGCATAAAGTACATTTGTAGGATCACTATGCTGTACACCTGAAACTAATGTAACATTATCACCTACACTTGAAAGAAAAAATAAAACTATAACCAGAGTGCTAAAACACTGGAGAGAAATCAGTCATCTCTAAAAATGTTAGCAACATGGAAATTCCACCTATTAACTAGGCAAAATGATCTTTAATTTCTAATAATTCAACACTATTTCATAAATACGTGTCCTGGCACTAGTCCCCTGTAACAATGTATGATTAGAATAAAGATCTATGTTGTGGAAAACATCAGAAATGCAGTGTCTAAAGTTTTAAAAGCAGTAAGAATAAAGTTTTTATCACACTCATCAACAAGGCTGAACTTATGAACCAAGAAATCAATTCAAACCCAAATCCTAATTCCACAACCACACTTCTCAAAACCCACCCACTTACATTCTCCCCCAGCCACGCGGACAAAGCACTTCTGCCAGCCAGCACATATAGGCTGCATACCTGTTTGGAAGGTAGGATTCGCTCCAGGGTACATGTTGGGGGAGTAGGCAGGAGCTGCGGCTGCATAGCCCATGGGGAAACCAGCTGGAGAAAAAGAACAATGGGATATCACCACCTGAAGGAGTAACATAAGGTTACAACCATGGCTCCCACAGGAGTGGAGCCCAACAGTATTACATATGATAAGCAGTTTGTTTCTCCTTTCCTCAGAATTGGGATGGGTCACAGATGTCCATTTAGAGATGAATAAAGAAGATGTGGTATATATATACAATGGAGTATTACTGAGCCATAAGAAAGAATGAAATCTTACCATTTCCAACAATGTGCATGGAACATTGGGTATTATGCTAAGCGAAGTAAGTCAACCAGAGAAAGACAAATACCATATGATTTCATTCACATGTGGAATTTAAGAAACAAACAGATGAATGTAAGGGGAAAGAAAGGGAAAGTAAAATAAGATAGAGAGAGGCAAACCATAAGAGACTCTTAACTATAGGGAACAAACAGGGTTGCTGGGGGGCAAGTAGGTGGGGGGGTGGGGTAACTGGGTGATGGGCATTAAGGAGGGCACTTGATGTAATGAGCACTGGGTGTTATATGCAACCAATGAATCACTAAACTCTACCCTGAGACTAATAATATACTGTATGATAACTTGAATTTAAATTAAAAAAAATTGGAATGGATTACAAACATAATCAAGTCTTTTAAACCTGTAAGTAAATGCTTACAACTTCCTACAATTGAAAAAATATGGCAGAAAACTGAGAATGCCAAAAAATAAAACAAAAAAACAAACCTAAGCTGAAGTCAGGAAACTCCTAATACTTCTGGCAGTTTTATTGTAGATTTTCATCACATAATTTATTAATTAGCAACAGTAATAAGAATGCTAAGAAATTGTGTGGTGAAGGGGCCATTAACTGGCACCACTGACACACGGAAATGGGAAAAATCCAATCTCACAACCCTCTTGCAAGCAACCTAATCTTTATTAATATAAATGAGGAATCCTTAATAACACTAAACCATAACCACTACTAATTGAGGTGAATACAACAAAAACATCAACTAAGACAGTGTTACAGTCAAAATCCTGGCTACCAGCCATCCACCAGCAAAGGGGCCTCAGTTACCTGCTCCTGGCCTCCTCGGAGCCTAAGGACCCCTGTAAGGCCCATGTCCAGGCCTTCCCCTGACCTGTCTGGTTCACGTTCAAAATGCTCCATTCATGTGACAGTTGGAGTATTAGAATCTACTGCCTTATATTCAGGGCACAGAGCTAACAAAGATGACCCACATTCCCTAGTCTTTACTACTGTCACAAACTAGTTCTGAGAATCTGTTAACTTCTCTTTCCCTCTTTCCCCTCACCTATAAATAAGGTTGAAATGGAAAGGCAGACTTCAAAAGACACTGTTGAGGAGACTAGGGATATTTCAGGTACTGTGGTGGTTGAGAGTAACCAAAGTGAAAAAAACGTTAAGGGTAGTAGGACAACATAAAAGAGAAAAGGGAGTAAAGTTCAGAGTAGAATTCTAAAGGTAATCTTTGTGGGTCTGGATGTCATTTGTAAAGATTTTGGATAAAGTGCCTTACAGGAATCCCTGCAGTCTCCAGCACAGCTTGGATGCCCTTGCTCTGCTGCACCTCCTGCTCCAGCTGTCCTGCAGTTCCATGGTCTCCTCCAAGGGCAGGGACGTAAGTGTTCACTCCCACTGCTCCCAAGGAATCCCTACTTGCAAGTGCCAGTTTTCACCTCATATACAAATCCTCTGCTTCAGAGTTGCTTTCTTCTTTCTCAAGACTGATCCTCCCCTACCTCAGCAGAAGCTATTTTGAGTTTCCTTCCTATATTATTATTTTCCTTTTTGTCCAATTACTTAGAAAACAGTGTGAGGCGATCAAATGCTTGCCAGATTCCCTCATTGTGGACATCAAGGACAGATTCCACTTGAAAGAGACCTAAAATGGCTATTTTTAAAAGACCAGGAACGTGGTTTTCAATCTGTGTTTTATGAACCCTGAGCATTTCCTTAGAGGCCTCAACTGTGAGCAGCAGGAGGCCAAGCAGGCTCTGGAGCCTGCCCGAAATTCACCCTGGGAGATGCTCTAACTCATCTTAGTACTAAGGAACCACTTACAAATCCTTTCTAAGGTTTCACTGTTAAAAACAAAGTTTAGGGCACCTAGGTGGCTCAGTTGGTTAAGCAACTGCCTTCGGCTCAGGTCATGATCCTGGAGTCCTGGGATTGAGTCCCACATCGGGCTCCCTGCTCAGCAGGGAGTCTGCTTCTCCCTCTGACCCTCTTCCCTCTCGTGCTCTCTATCTCTCATTCTCTCGCTCTCAAATAAATAAATCTTTAAAAAAAAAAACAAAACAAAGTTTAAGGGGCGCCTGGGTGGTTCAGTCGTTGGGGTCTGCCTTCGGCTCAGATCATGATCCCAGGGTCCTGGGATCGAGCCCCACATTGGGCTCCCTGCTCAGCGGGAAGCCTGCTTCTCCCTCTCCCACTCTCCCTGCTTGTGTTCCCTCTCTAGCTGTGTCTCTCCGTCAAATAAATAAATCTTAAAAACAACAACAACAAAATTTAAAATACTACTGACCTAGGCTTCTGCAACAATTCTCTCAAAATCCAAATGTCCTCATCTCTCCATAAATTCTACCAATAAATCCTCCAGGGTATTGTCTACTTCTGTACTTGTCTTGTGTCTAAGAGCTCCTGAAACACTATTATGTTTGCTTGGCCCTTCCTATCCTAACCTTCTAACAATGAGTTAACATGCTCTAAAATGAAAAAGAAAAGCCACATAACAAGTATTTAAAACAGCATAACTAACCACCAGCAACAGGACATCCTCTGCTTCTATGCCTGCGCACAGAAGTACACCACCCTCACACACCACTCACACACCACCAAATCCCACACATACACTACCACCCTGACCTAGAGGCCCAGCACAGTTGACCTTCCACCTTGGCCATATAAAACCCCCACATGGAAACCCTTGAAAGGACTACCTCCCTGGACCCCCACAAACACTGTTTTAACTGGTTGTAGCATCTTCTGTTTCTTCATTTTTCTAGAAAATTCTAACCTGCAAGGCTCCAATCAACAAGGTTGAGAAGCACTATTCCTTCTTATCCCTGTCAATCTTTCTGGCCACAGCACTGTCTTCCTAAAAATGCCCCTCACAGCAAGTACTGAGGACTGTTTCCTTTAACATCTGGTCTAGCTCCCTTCTAGGATAGAAACTCTGGAAAGCTAGAAACTACACTGCCCAGAAGCCCCTCTTATAAGAGATTGTAAGTGATCCCAAATCCTAACCACTTTTACGAGATTAATCACTTCATGAAAATAAAAACTTCAAAACAGAAGATATCATAAGTAAAAAAAAAAAAAAAATACAAAGGAAAAATACTTGCAAATTATATAGACAAAAACTTAATACATACAAAAATACAAAAATTTAATAATATAAATAACTCTTAAAACTAAAAAAAAACCACCAAGAGAAAAAAAAAATCAGTAGAAGGACATGGAGAGAACTGCCAACTACTACACTGATCCCATTTCTAACATCAGACTGGCAAAACTCCAAAAGCTGAAAACACACTTTGTTGGCAACACTATGGGGAAACCATTGCCTCACACACTTCTGGCAGGAATACAAAACAGTAAAAATCCTATGGAGGAGAAATCAGAAGCACTTTAAAAATAACGTATGTATTTACACTCTCACCCAGCAATCCCATCTCAGAGAACCCATTCTGAAGATAATTTCCACAATCAACATAAGCTGCAGAATTACTGGAATACTGAAATATTTCAAACAACACATCTATCCAAAAATTGGTTGAATAAACTATGGAAACCCCACAAGATGCAGGTTACACAGTACTGTGCAAAACGTAAAAAAGAACAAGGCAAACCTTTGTAAACTGACATGGAATGATTTCTAGAATATACTGAGTTGACAAAACAAAGCAAACATCACCACCTGAATCTCTATTCCAGGGAAAAAGCCCCTGTTCAGCCACGAATAGTATGTGGGCTGACAGCCTCTGGCAGCAGCGCCTCCAAAGGCCACTTCTGCCTAATGAGGGCCTCCTCTAACCTCCAATCCTTCCCTCACAGCTCCCCCATGAGCTGGTTAAGAATTCAGCAAAGTGTAGCACAGTCCTGAGGCTCCCCCTACCTGATTCTGCATCCTCTTCGTTAGATCTTTCACAAATGTTCCCCCAAAATGCCTACTTCCCTAATTTCATCTGTGTCCATTACCTTTTGTGTTAACAAAAGAGAAATTAAAATATATGGACAAATTGGAGTGTGGGCACGATATGAACTGAATATTTGTGTCTCCTCCAAAATTTATGTGTTGAAATTCTAATCCCCAAATGTGACAGCATTTGAAGATACTCAATTGTGGTAATCATTTCACAGTGTATACATATATTAAATCTTCACATACACCTTTAAAAAGAAAAAGTTGTACAACCTAAATACATATAATTTGTACTTGTCAATCATACCTCAATAAAGCTGTTTTTAAAAAAAGCTAATCAGGGGTGCCTGGGTGGCTCAGTTGTTAAGCGTCTGTCTTCGGCTCAGGTCATGGTCCCAGGTCCTGGGATCGAGCCCCACACTGGGCTCCCTGCTCCACAGGAAGCCTGCTTCTCCCTCTCCCTCTCCCCCTGCTTGTGTTCCCTCTCTTGCTGTGTCTCTCTCTGTCAAATAAATAAAATCTTAAAAAAAATTTTAAAAAAGCCAACCAGCATGCTATCTGCCTCACAGGAAAACAGCAACTGGACCACCTACAATTTTTAATACACTGTGTATTACATTCAATGAAAAAACATTAGGCATGCCAAGAGACAAAACTGCATAGTTGAATAACAAAAAAAGGACCAAGTGACAATAGAAACAAACCCACAGGTGACTCACAGACTGCAGTCAACCACAAAGTCTTTAAAATAACTGTGAGTAGTATGTTGTTAGAAAAAAAAAGAAAATGAAGTACATGAAAAGATTCAATAAATGGGTTTTATAGTAAATTACAGAAAAATTAGCAGGGTTAATGAAATGGAAGCAGATAGGTACAAAATATCCACATTAAAACTCACAGAAAACTGTAAAATATAAAAAAGGATGCAACAGATGTGAGACAGAGTAAAATGGTCTAATATACTTATAAATGGAGTCCCAAGAGAGGAGAAGGGAGGAGAAAAAAAGTATTTGAAAAGTCACTCCTATTGCTGGGGGGGGGGATCAACCTACTGAGTCTGTTTTCAGTGTTACTGAAACACACACACTCAGTATTGTCTACAGCTGCTTTAGCTCTGGAAAGGCAGAGCTGAGGATTTACAACAGAGACACTACGGCCCACAAGGCCTGAAATATGTACTATACCTGGACCTTTACATAAACTTTGTCAAACCCTGCTTTTGACCAACCAAAGAACTGGAACAAAATTTAGACACCTTGCATAGAACTGGAATATGACAAGCACTGTTTTATTAAAAAGTCTATCAGGTAAAACTAATGCCATCGGGTTTTGCCTATACCCCTTGGCTCTAGACCCGCTCAGGATTCTCAGGAAGCTACTTGGCATTCTCTTTAAACTAGTCTTGATAATTTAAAGACAACAGGTGTTATTACTAAATTACCTTTTATCAATTCTGGAAAATTCTGTCACTCCTCATCTTGTCTCTCTATTCAGTCCTTCTGGAGCTCCTAATGCTCCCCAAATCTCATTCTGACATCTCGATTTCTTAACTGGTCTCCTATTGCCCCCTTTCTTTATTCTGCATCCTGGTTCTCCCATTTAGCAGTGTTTTACCTGCAATTTAACCTGAATTTTGTTCAAATGCCATTGCTTTTTCATTTAAGTTCCAGTTGGTTCTCCCGCCCCCAGTATCTTGTTCCCCTCTTATATTCTAACTCTTTCTTTTAGATCTTCAATTATTCTAAACTTGTGTGATGCAGTATCTATTTGATATTCTATTCATGCAATCTATCATGACTGGTAACTCTTACGTGATGAAGTCACATGTTTCATAATAATTTTGCATTGTTAACAGGCAGAATTTTGTGGGAAACCCACACAACCTGGAATGAGGACATGTGCCTCCACAGCAGTTCTGCTTTTGCTGCTGTCAAGTGCTGGGGCTAATGCAGGCTGCAGACTACTTTTTATGTTAGTTTCTCAATTATGGACCCCCCTCCCCCCACAGTAAGTACAAGTAATACAAAGTAGAGCCTCCAACATTCCTGACTGGTTACAAAGTCTTAGGAAAGATTTCCCCCTCCTAGAGCCCAAGCAGAGACAAAATTCCCTTGTGGAACCAGTGAATGGATTTTTTTAGTCTACCTTTTCCCTGGGAGTATCACCCTCTGGAGGAACCAGATTAATGAGGGGTCCCACCTCCAAGCCCCGGACTCACAAGGGCTTAAGGCTTCACTTTCTTTCCCCATGTGGGTTATTAAAACCCACAAAAAGCAAATGCCCCCGGGACAGGCACATCATCATCAGCTCAATGGCCAAATGCACTGGTTTTTAGGTCACTTTCATATTTAGCACAGATATTTTGCTTACTACCCTTCAAGTTGTTATACATTTTTCAAAATGTTTTGTTCAATTTTTAGAGACTTTTTTAGCAACAAGATTTTAAGATGATCTGTTCCACCTTATTATCAAAACCCACAATAAAATTGTAACATTACAAATAATCACTCCTTGTTGGATGTCACCAATTAGGATGTCCATCTGCTATTTTCAACCAACCAGCTATTACCCCAAATTTTGCTTTACTGCCTCCCTCACAGCCCATGTTCGACTAGCTGACTCCAGTAAGGAGGGAGCGTGGCTCAGGCCTAAATTAGTAGAATTCCCTCCCTGGCCCTGGGATGGTAGCTGAGTGCAATCAGAACACACCCCAGGATTAGAGAACAAGAAGCCCCAGGGGGGTTTCCTGTAGAGCAGAGATAAAGAGGCTCCTAGTCAGGGTACTGCTTGGGGGATGGGGGCGCTGAACACCACAAAGAGATCACAACAGGGAGAAGTGTAACCTGTGACCAACACTGAGCCAATCCTGAGGAAGTGAAGCTGAGCCCAGGAGGTAGAAAATAGATCCTAGTCCAACTGTTGGAGCCACCAAATCAAGGTTTGACCAAAGCCAGTCCTAGCTCTTCATTTTTCAGTTCCATGCCCAAAACATTTTCTTTGTGTAAATCACTTTGAGCTAGGTTTGTCAAGTGAAAAGTGTTCTGAGCAACAAGGAAATTTACCAAGTGTTCAAAGTTCAATAATGAAACAAAGTTTTACTTGCTTACCTGGATAACCAATTCCTTTGGCATTTGCATAGGGAACCCCAGAAGAACCAGGGCTATAAACAGGATTCATGATTTCAAGAACTAAAAAGGAAGAAAAAGTGGTTTAGCCAAGGACTTTTATTCTCCGTTTTTTTTCCAGTATCACTCGCAAAAGAACAGACAGCAAGAGTCCCTTCTCTAGTTTACTAAAAACAAGGCATTTCATAATGCTGCCAGCCAACACAGAAAAGGAAGGCCAGAAGCCCCAATGAAAGCCCACCTAAACACTGTAATCTTTCCTTTACAACTTCTTCAGTCCATCAGAAGCTAAGGGAAAGTGTTCTCTACATTCCTGCTTAAAACAGTGAAAAAGTGTTCTATAATCTAAATGTCCTTTTAACAAAAAATAGTTAAGGAAACCAGATCTATCCAGAATATGAAATATTATACAGCTACTTTTTAAAGTGTTTAAAAACATGACTGATATAAAGTTATGTGATGGAAGGAAAACAATGCTGCATTGTGCAGTATGATCCCAAATCTGCACCTACATGTAGTACAGGCATGTGCATTTCCAGCACAAACAGAAAAGGTCTGGGAGAATATAAAAATATGAACAGAGATGATCTCTAGATGGAGTAGGTTTAGTGTTGTTTTTACACTTTTCTCTATTTCTCAAATAACTTTTGTTAAATATGTATATATTTTCTTTAAAAGACAAATCAGCTATAGCCCAGCAACTCTATTAACCAACCAATGTTTTTCCATAATCTTTTTTTTCCTGAAAACTTCAAGAGCTTGCACAACCACAACCATGATTTTACCCCTTCCCCAACAGAAAAATATAATTCTCATCAGTATCTCCAGCAAGCTCCTCTGAATTCTATCACCCAATGTATTCTGAAAGTGTGAGTTTAATTAAGACTACTCTGTATTCCTCACCTAGTAAGTCACTCACTGATTTATGTGGTAGTAAGGATTAAGGGGATCTTAAATTTAAAAATAAAAATGGTACAGGGGAGGGGGATAGCAGGCAACAGGTAATATGGGAACTCTGTACCTTCTGCTCAATTTTGCTGTGAACCTAAAACTGCCCTAAAAAAGTCTACTTAAAAACAAAAATAAAGAGGGGTGCCTGGATGGCTCAGGTCTTGATCTCACAGTCATGAGTTCGAGCTCCATGTTGGGCTTCGTGCACAGTGTGGAACCTACTTAAAAATAAATAAAATTAAAAATTAAAAATAAATAAAATGAACACATATATACTTAACGTCTGCCTCCCCTACCACATCCCCAACTAGAAAGTAGCCTGGGGCAGACAAGGAACAGCGACTTGGTCCTATTTACTGCAGTATCTCCAGTGCTAATAATAGTGTCTGGCACAAAACAGGTCCAAGTACCTACTTTCTTTCTTTTTTTTTTTTAAAAAAAAAATATTTTATTTATTTATTCACAAGAGACAGGCAGAAGGAAAAGCAGGCTCCTGGCAGAGCAGGGAGCCCGAAGCAGGACTCGATCCCAGGACCCTGGGATCATGAACTGAGCCGAAGGCAGACGCCCAACTGACTGAGCCACCAGGCACCTGACCTGCTGACTTTCTAAAAACACATGCACCTTCAAACACCCTAGGTACCAAATTCCATTACAAAAACATATTGCAAAAATTAACCACTTCAAAGTCTCAGCTTACCTGACTCATTTAAAATATTCACAATCAAGCAGTTCAGTACACACAGAAACATACCTGGTCACATCCGTAGCCTTAGTAACAAGTTCTAGTCTAAATCAGGAATAAATTGGGAACATCAGTAATTGGGACGTCCCAATTGTGACTTTTTTTAAAAAACTTCTAAGCCAAACCTACTATGACATCCACAATTACAGCTAAGAGATTAGTCTAGATCAGTGCAGTACTCTCTGCAACAATGAAGATGCTCTCTATCTGTGCCTTCCAATATGGCAGCCATTAGCTAAAAGTACTGCGCACCCAGGCGCCTGGGTGGCTCAGTTGTTGAGCGTCTGCCTTCAGCTCAGGTCACGATCCCAGGGTCCTGGGATCAAGCCCCACATCAGGCTCCTTGCTCCACAGGAAGCCTGCTTCTCCCTTTCCCACGCCCCCTGCTTGTGTTCCCTCTCTTGCTGTGTCTCTCCCTGTCAAATTAAATAAAATCTTAAAAAAAAAAAAAAAAAGTAGGGCGCCTGGGTGGCTCAGTTGGTTAAGCGACTGCCTTCGGCTCAGGTCATGATCCTGGAGTCCCTGGATGGAGTCCTGCATCGGGCTCCCTGCTCGGCAGGGAGTCCGCTTCTCCCTCTGACCCTCCCCCCTCTCATGTGCTCTCTCTCTCTCTCTCTTCTCTCTGTCTCAAATAAATAAATAAAATCTTTTAAAAAAAGTACTGAGCACTCAAAACTGTGGTTAGTGCAAGATCTGATTTTTAACTTTTATCTGACCTCAACTTAAATTTTTTTAATTAAGTAATCTCTACACCCAACAAGGGGTTTGAACTGATGACCCCTAAATCGAGAGTCACGCTCCTCCAACTGAGCCTCAACTTAAATTTAAATAGTCCTATGTGGTTAGGAACTACCACATGGACAGCACAAGTCTATGAGACAGATGAGAGAAAACAAGGATAGGAAGGCACAGAAAGTAAGCAGGAGAATCGATTATGTATCTTTACCACACAGTTTAAGAATAAACAAACTGGGGGGGCCGCCTGGGTGGCTCAGTCCGTTAAGCGTCTACCTTGGGCTCGGGTCATGATCCCAGTGGGGTCCTGGGATGGAGCCCCACGTCGGGCTCCCTGCTCGGGAGCCTGCTTCTCCCTCTCCTCCCTGCTCGTGATCTATCTCTCTCTCAAATAAATAAAATCTTAAAAAAAAAAAAAAAGTAAACTGGGGGCACCTGGGTGGCTCAGTTGGTTAAGCGTCTCTTGATCTCAGGGTTGTGAGTTCAAGTGCTGCATTAGGCTCCATGCCCAGCATGGAGCCTACTTAAAAAAATAAAATAAAAACTGGCAATTGCCAACCCCTATTATCCTGCACTTTTAACCCATTCTTGGTGGATCTCCAACAGAAGAACTGTGGTAGCGCTCATAAATTCCATCTATCTCTGTGCTTTAATTATGATCTGTTGAGAAAGTATATAATTCCCAAAACTCTGTTTCTCTATTCTGTGCCAGAACCTAATTTTATTTTCTCAATTGAATTCAAGATAAGCAAAACACTATGCAAAGGTCACAGAGAAAACAAAAAGAGCAAGTCACAAGCTTCTCAGTTTACAATCTAGGAAAGTGCTGTCCAATAGAACCTTCTGTGAAGATGAAAATGTATGGTAACTGTCCATGTAAAGTAGCCACTAATGGCTGGCTAGTGAACACGTGAAGTGTGGCTAGCACAACTAAGGAACTGCATTTTAGTTAAACAGTCACACGTAGGTGATGGCTATTGTATTGGAGAACTCAGGCCTATAAGACAAAGACATGACTAATGGTGATACAGAGCAAAGAGTATTAATAGACACATTAAGTACCATTAAGGAATGAAGTGTTCTAAGGGTTGAGTGGAGAGAGCAAAAATTCAACAGGTGAGGGGAGGAATGGTCAGGAAAAACTTGATTACAGAGGTAGTATTTCCAATAAGCTCTGAACAAGTAAAAAGCCACTGAAGTGAGAATATGTAAAATGAACTTTAGGAATATTGGGCAATTGGGCTTGTAGGGAAACAACAAAGATAATTATGGAAACACAGGTTAGTTTCTTAGAACCATCATGTGGAGACCCTTAAATGTAGGGCTGAGCAGATGTCATCTGGTAGGCAGTGAAGCTCATGAATAGCGTAGCAGATTAACACAAGAGTTACCAGATAACCTGGTAATTCTACTCCTTGGTAAATACCTAGGAGAAATGAAAACATACATCCACACAAAAATCTGTACACTAATGTTTATTATTCGTAACAGCCAAAAACTGTAAACAACTCAAATGAAGCACTGAACACAAGGCTCTCCTGACACAAGGATCTCAGTGTAAACCAATAATACAGTAATATAATGCTTGTCACTAAAAAGTGTATAGAATTGTATTTGAATTCTCAATACCGTAAGTTCCAAACTACCCAGAAGTTATATTTCCTAAAAGCATTTTTACCTCCCCAAAGGATAATGTTTCCTAAAGAGACTGAAAAATCTTAATGAATTTAAAAAATATTAGGAAGAAAATATAACAAGACTGATGAAAGAAAATGTTGCGGTTCCCTCTCCTATCCAATAAAGGGGCCTGACTGAGTAATATAAAGGCAAAGTCTGTGAACTAATGTCAAAAAAAAAAAAAAAAAAAAAGCTTCTTTGGTTACTTGTTCAAATAATGAGATTCCCCCCAAGATTCTGAGCCTCAAGGACAGGGAAAATACTTTGTTCAGCTCTGTCTTCCTGTATCTCACCAGTGCTAGGCACACAGGTAGCTAATATATATCTTCTGAATGGTTTTGAAGAACTACGTGATAGGAAATGTAACTTTTCACAGCAATAAATATGAAGTTGAGGGGCGCCTGATGACTGGCTCAGTCAGAGCATATAACTCTTTATCTCAGGGTAGTTGAGTTCAAGCCCCATACTGGGTATAGAGCTTCCTTAAAAAAAAAAAAATGAAGTTGAGATATTTATTTAAAATATAACTCAGAATAGTTGAAACGTATCTGTTTATTGATTAGTGACTATGAAAGCTGAACCCATTGGCCAATCTTAATTAACACTACCAGAAATCAAACTAACATTATGTGCATGCTCATATGATAGAATTCCTCTGCATCACAAAAGGTGTACTACTACAAAAACATTACAATCTGAATCTAATGAATCCTATACATCCAACTTCTAGTTTACAGAAAAAGAAGTTGGAGGAATAGAATGAACAACACCATGAGGCAACGAGACAAACCCAAAAGATGGGGCATCTTCGAGAACAAATAACCCAGTTTCTTTAGTATAAGTCAATGGTCTGAAAAGTGGTGGGGATAGGGGGGTGGGGAGGCGGGGAGGGCAGTTCTACATTAAAATAGATTTAGACATAAAAACCATTAGGTAGTTTTGTTTGGATTTCGGTTTAGATTGAAAAAACTGTAGAAAGATATTTTAAGGATTTGGGGACACAAGTGAATATGGGCTAGGTATCAAAT